GGGAATTCTGGGAGTTGAAGTCCACACATCTTCAAGCTGCCAAGGTTGAGAAACACTGTCTAACGGGATGCATCCCAAACACCAGTTGGCTGCAGTACCCAAACCACGCCCCCCTATCTGTCCAACCAGGAAGGGGTCCTTGAAGTTATATATGTTTGTCATATATTCTTGATGCAAAGGCTCATGGGATACCAGCCAAGACCAGAGGTTTTGGGGAGGTGGGTGGAGAATGGGTGGAGAACTTGTATTGCCCCCAAAATATATACACACACACACGACAGGTAGTCCTCGTTTAGCAACCACAATTAGGACTGGCAACTCAGTTGTTGAGCAAAGCGGTGGCTAAGTGAAACTTCAACTGTGCTTACGATCTGACTTCAGCTCTCCTTTGCTTTACAGACCTGCCAGTAACCTGGCAAAGTTACTGTTTCCTGAGCGTCATAACTGCAAACGGTCGCTGTCTGAAGCAGTTGCTAAACGAGGATGACCTGTAGCTAGCTCACAAATCTGTCTTACATCCATCAGGAGCCCTACAGATTCCCCATTGCCCCAGTTCTCCTCACCTGACTTATAGAAATGGAACTGGTAACTCCTAGCGTCCACAGCCAAGGACACCGGTCCCACCGTTCCAACAGCTTGCTCCAGGGCCCCCTCACTCTCTGGCTGGATCCGCACAAAGGACGTACAGTTGGCCACTCGGGTTTCTGGGTTGTAGCGACATTTCGACTCCTCCTGCAAAGACAGGACAGGAGGACACAGGAGGAGTCTCCTCGCACCTTTTCAGACTTACACATTTTATTTAACAGCAGAATAAACTTCAGGAAGAGCAGGAAGCCAAGGGGGTGTGGGTCTAGGGGCACATTTTCCAGATGGCAGCCCCCACTTTATGGAATAGCTCAATCCCTGAGATATAGGGAGCCCCCACCTTGCCTGCATGCTGAAAAATAGTCAAAACTATCTTCCAACAGACTTGGGGGATGGATGATGGACCTGGGTGGCCATTGCAATTTTTAAGTTATTATTAAAATAGAATACAGGTAGTCCTCACTTAACAACTGTTTGTTTAACTACAGTTCAAAGTTACAACAGCCTTGGAAAAAGTGCACTTACAACCATCACAAACTGACACACACAACCCGCGGTTACGTAATCGCAATTTGTGACCTTTTTTATGATGGTCGTTAAGCAAATCACCATGTTTGTTAAGTGAATCACATGGTTATTAAGTAAATCATGTGATCGTTAAGCAAATTCTGGCAAAAAAGTCCATCGGGGAAGCTGGATTCACTTAACAACCACATGATTTGTTTAACGAACACATGATTTGCTTAACGACCATTGTGAAAAGGTTGTAAAATCAAGTCCAGTCATGTGGTGACTTGCTTAATGACTACCCCACTTAATGACCAATTTTCTGGTACCTATTGTGGTCGTTAAGCGCGGACTACCTGTAATATGATCTTTTCATTATAATAAGTAACGTACCATTCATCATGACAAGGAGGATGTAATGAACAAAAAATGGCAAGTAAATACAGGAACTATGACCTCAAACAGGAAGCTCCAAGATGCAAGGGCTCTATGGCTGGAAAGACCATGACTTGCCCGGGGCCCCCACATTCCCTTCTCTCACCTTTTCCTGATAAGGATAGTCATGCTCCGAGTTGATGCCTCCGTTTTCCCGAACATACTCCAAGGCCTGGGTGATGTATCCTCCATGACAGCCCTCGTTGCCCAGATTCCAGGAGCAATCCATGAGGTTCTGCTCACTCAGGGAAACCAGCTTGCCCGTCTTCTTGAAGAGCAAACCTTCCAGAGCTCCGGTGGCGCTGAAGGCCCAACAGGCCCCACAATGTCCCTGTGAAGACAGTAAGAGCGCTGGAAGAGCCCTGTAGGATCAGGAAGCCAAAGCTGGTTGTCTTGGTTCACTATTTAATTGCAGGAGAAGGAGAAGGAGAAGGAGAAGGAGAAGGAGAAGGAGAAGGAGAAGGAGAAGGAGAAGGAGAAGGAGAAGGAG